CCTGTTCTTCTAACTGTGATCATTTTGACTTTCTGTCAAAAGTAATTTCCATTTTTATTCCAAACACTATTTTCATCTGGCTCTTCAAAACCCCTTTGGAGAAAGTATGCTTCTCCATTTAAATAATCAGAATTATACTGTGTCTAACAACCCTGAAATTCTTATTTTTGGGCTTCAGGCATTAAATCATCTAGAGAAAACTCAGATAAAACAGAAGTAGCATGAATATTAAAAATATGTCCTAATGAAGAAAGTGAGATGTGAAGAGGCTAAGTAGTTCATCCAATGCCACAGAACTAATAAGCAGTAGAGTTGGAATTTAAACTTTTGATCAGAGATCAAGTTCTAGACCACAGGTTTGCAAGTGGAGTTGTTGAAGGATACTAAATAACTAAGCAACATAAAGCTATTTTTATAAAATTTATTTTTTATTAATTATTTTATCAACCCTATTCTGTGTCAGGCACATAACTGAACATTGGGGCTACAAAGCTGAAACTCACAGCCTACTTGGAGAGATAGGTAAGACAGATATTACTTTATGCACCTCATAAATTCAGCATGAGGGCACTGGTGGTGATATATCAGTGTATTATGGGCACTGAGAGCAGGAACACCTAATTCAGGTAGGAGAGGTCCTAAAGGCTCTCTGACCGAACAGTTCAGATGAGCTAGAGTTAGCCATGAGGAGGCTTGAGGAGGTGAAGCAACTTAAAAGGCATCCAAAGACAATGTAGACAAAGGCATCAGCAAGTTTAATATGCTGAATCATCATAGAATATAAAGTGGAAACGAGGTTGAAATGAGAAAAGATAGTCAGGGCTCAGCTCTTGGAGGGCTTTTGGATACGGCAAAGTTTGGACTTAGTCCCATGAATGAATGGAGATTATAGAGCTATAGATAGGAGAGTCATATAAACATAAATAAACAGTAAATAGTTCAGGTGGCAGGTTGGAAATGGATTTAAAGCTCTATTAGTCAAAATAAGCCAAGTTGTGCTGTGGTAATAAATCTCTAAATTTCAGTGAGTTAATGTGATAATGGATTATTTCTTAAATATCCAAAGACTAGAACTGGCTGGCTATCCTTCCTCCATCTGGGAGCTATACCATCTGGAATGTGTGTCCTTCCAGGTTACTGAAGCAGAAGAGACCTGAAGGATATTGCAGGATGTGTTTACAGGTTGGGATTAGATGAGGCTTTCATCAATTCCGCTCAGAGAGCACATTCTTGCTGCTCTGTTGAGAGTCCACCACAGAATAGAGCACTTCTTTCAGTCTTGTTTGTAATAGGCCCAAGACACGTGTATATTCTTACTGTTTGAGAAAAATTGTTTACTCCTTTATTTACTTCACTCAATAAATGCCTTTTTAAAAAATATGTTTTCATCAATTTTTAGAGAGAGAGGAGGGGAAGAAGGAGAGAAGGAGAAATATCAATGTGAGAAACATCGATCAGTTGCTTCTTGTACACACCTTTACTGGGGTTGAATCCACAACCTGGGCATGTGCCCTGAAAAGGAACCAATATGGTGACCTTTTGGTGCACTGGATGGCGCTCAATCAATTGATCAATTGAGCCACACCGACCAGGGCTCAATAAATGCTTTTTTGAGCATCTGCTGTGACCCATGCACTGTCATAACACCAGGGATACAACATTGTTCGATGTTACTTCCTTGTGGATAAACTCTTATTTGGCTCTCACTCACAGGATGATATGTGCAAAAGATAGAGTAATAGGGTAAATGGGGTGGAAGGTGCAATATGGGCCAGATCCTGTGTCTCATAGGCCATTTTAAGGCATTTAAATTTGACTGAAATGAAGGTACTTTAGAATATTCTGTGCAAAAGAGTGGCATGGTCTGACTTAATTTTTTTAAAGGATCATTCTTTCTGCTCTATTGAGAACAGACATAAGGTGGTAGGGTGGAAACATTGAGATCTATTGGGAAGTTATGTAGTAATCCAAGTGAGTGATGATGGTGGCTCAGACCAGGGTGGAAAGTGGTCAGATTTTGGATGTATCATGAAGATGTTTAATTTTGTGAAAGTATTTAACTTTGAAGATACCATCATCAGAATTTGAGGGCAATTCCTGGTGTGACTTAAGCTCCCAGGACAACAAAGCTGCAGTCAACTGAGGAGAGATGAACCTTAATTATTGAAATTGTTCTGAGATGATTTCAGAAAGGCTTTAGAAAGTATTAGTTTCCTAAACTATTCCTTTCTAATGGGTGTTCCTTTAAAATTTGAAATAATAACAATGATTACAAGGAAAGTATTTTTATTAGAATTAAAGCTTAGCTGCAAACATTCCACACAACTGACAATCTATCCTATATAATAAAGAGGTAATATGAAAATTAACCCTCATGCCCTCACAGGCTGCATGGGGTGACAAGGCCGGCAGGGGGGTTAGTGAGGGACCACCAAATGACTGAATAGCAGGCTGTGTGGGGCGACCAGACCAGTGGGGGGGGGGGGCAGTTAGGAGCGACCAGGCCAGCAGGGAGGGGGCAGTTGAGGGCGATCCAGCCAGCATGCAGAGGAAGTGAGGGGTGATCAGGCTGGCAGGGGGGGCCAGTTAGGGGCAACCAGGCAGGCAGGCAGGTGAGCGATTAAGAGCCAACAGTCCAGGACCAGCAGTCAGAAATCCCCTGAAGGGTCCCGGATTGGAGAGGGTGTAGGCTGGGCTGAGGGAACCCCCCCCCCCCATGCACAAATTTTATGCACTGGTCCTGTAGCCATATATATATGGCTAATATGCATATGGCTAATATGAAAAGTGTCCCCTCAGAAGTTCAACCAGGAGACTGGGAGTTGGATTGCTTGCTATGATGTGCGCTGACCACCAGGAGGAAGTGTGGAACGAAGGAAGGCCCCAGCCAGCAGCCTGCAGCTAGGGAAGGAAAGCCCCAGCCAACACCTGGAAGACCTCAATCGGCCCTGATCGCCGGCCAGGCCTAGAGACCTTATCGGCACATGAATTTCATGCACCAGGCCTCTATTTTATATAAAATCTATAGATCTTTCTACTTACAATGAAAACAAGTTGGTTAATAAATTATGTATCTTTTTTGAAAGCCAAGTCAGCAAACAGTGCAGTATATTAGATTCTTTTTCATATAGCAATTTATTGACTTTTTGTTAGGGGCATGTTTGCTTTATGGAACTCCCCTATTTCTATATCTCTCATATAAATAAAACTGTTTATTGTTATTAATTATTATTATATTAGAAAGACACTAAATAAAGTATGCCACTTTACCTTGATTTGATTCGTTCTCTGGGTACAACTTAGCAGAATGAGGTCATGTTTAAGTTTGGTTATAATGAAGGCAGAGAACGGAAGAAGAACATTTTAGGCGTATAGAACAGGAAACATAAATGCATGGATATGAACTTATAGTAATAATAGACTTAGGGCCCATGAAAGGGATCAGTTTGGGTTTGGAGTTGCAAGGAGTAAGAAATTAGAATTAGTAAGGTCTGGTAAGGTTGATTATTAAGTTATATGTGGGTAACTTATAAGGTATAATAAAAGTTTCAGTTGTTTATTTTAGGTGAAATAAAGATAATGATGTGAAAATGTAAAAGAACAATTGAAAAATCCTCCAATGGAAGATGGAACGTAGAAAACAGACGAAGGAAATCCACTAGAAAGCCACCTAATGGGAGCATATAAGTGAAAGACAATTTAATCCCTAGAAATCTCAGAGAACCAAGTTTCTAAACTAGATCTCATCTAGCATGAATGACAAACTAAAGTTATAAGCAATTATGTGGTTATATATTGTTTTGTTTATACACTGACTAACATCAGCTTTATTTTTCTCTCCTATTAGGCTAAGGAATCAATGACCCCAGAAAGACTGAAGGATCTTTTTATAGATACACCATAAAAAGCCTATCACTCACCTTCATACAACATATGCTTTCTAGATCTGCCCCACTCAATTAACCAGGAAGTTCACATATAATTGTGCAACTTTTATACCTAGTGGAAAAACTGCATTCTTTGGGGAAGTAGGCAATAGATATATGTTAAAAAGCCACCCTCTAACACTAGTTTTTTAGAGCAATAGCAATGTATAAATCATAGCATGTGTTAGAAAACTTCAAAGCAACCAAAAGATATCACATCTAAAGAAGGAAATAATATATGAAATATCATAATCAACAAACAATATTTATAATGTTTTAAAATTTTCTACAAGTTAATAAGTAAAATATAAGCTAGTCAAAAGAAAAAACAGCAAAAGATTAATAGGTGATTCACAGAAAATAAATCTGAAGTGTTTATTGAGCATATATGGAAAGATGTTCAAAGACCAATATTAAAATAGTGTTCATCTCTTAAGGATGAGGAAGAGAGGGGAATGAAATTTGGAAGAACTGCAAAGTGAATTGCCATTTCTTGTGTAACATTTAATACCTTTAAATAATAAAAAGCAGAGTGAATATTGCTAAATATTCACATGTGGTTATCTAAGTGGTAAATATATGCATGTTTGACTTACTCTTTGTATTTCCTTTTATATTTATAAAATATTTCTTAATAATAAATTTACAAAATATGTCTGACAATTTTACCATTGAATTCTATAAAAATTTCTCCATCTATGATTTTTATGAGAAAACATAATAAGGGAGGCAGTATGAACTAAGGGAAAAACATAAGAGGAGGAGTTAGAATTCTAAATCTAGTCCCAAATCTGCCAATTGCCCACTGTGTGACCCTGAGGAAATCACTTAATTCTTCTAAAACTGACTTCTCACCTGAAAACTTGAATAAATCCACCTTTACTACATAAAGTTATTGTAAGAAGTGAATTATTTCATGTATATAAAAAGTGATGTTCAAATGTAAAGAAAAATATATGAAAATTCTTAAAACCTCTAGGTAAGTGAAATTAAATGAACATACTTTCCCATGTATTGTCATTCTGAACTTATGGAAACAGACATTAAAACAGAAAGACACACATCTCTTCTTACCGGGTCTATTAGCTGGGAATAGAGTTCGTGGCAATTATCAAAAATGTACTTGTACGTAGAATCCAGGCAAGCTCTGACACAGTCCTTTACCACCATGCTGGCCTTTGGGGGGTTTTGCAGCTCCAGAACCTGACAGAGAGATTGTTTTATTAAATTGAAAAATGGAACATTGCAATCTAGTATAAACAACTCAAACCATTTCAATAAAGGCTTTCAGTTGATTTTTCTATGTTCAGGAAAAATGTGGTCATAGAAATGTTATAAATGAGTAAATATCCACTTTATCTAATGTGACAACTCATTGAAAATGTACATAGTTGTAAATATTCAAATAGAAACACTAAATGTGACCAATCACATTATTTATTTATTTATTTATTTATTTCAATCATTTGACAAATATTTATCACCTATCATATGCCAGATAATGGTTATAGAAAGAAAAATTCCTTTCAGCCCTAACTGGTTTGACTCAGTGGATAGAGCATCGGCCTGCAGACTACAGAGTCCCAGGTTCGATTCCAGCCAAGGGAACATGCCCGGGTTGCAGGCTCAATCCCCCCCAGTAGGGGGTGTGCAGGAGGCAGCCAATCAATGATTCTTTCTCATCATTGATATTTCTATCTCTCTCCCTTCCTCTCTGAAATCAATTAAAAATATTTTTTAAAAATCTCTTTCATTATGGAGATTTTAGTAGATAAAAAATCAGTAAAATATATTACACTAGTGGTCTGGTGCATGAATTCGTGCATTTGAAAGAAAATTAATTAGAAAAAAATTTTAATATTGCTCTTCACCCTTTCTCTATAATAGAAGTGTCAACCAAATTCACGATCAACAATGACAGATTGAAATGCAAACATGCAATTGGCGCCAGCGAGAGCTTTATATGTATCATGCATGTGAGAGTCAACTTAGCCTTTTAAAAACATAGAATAAACTTGCTTAATTAGACCTGCTTTCTGATTTAGCTAAACTTTTTCCAGCCCAGTGAAGCACCTCAACTTCTCTTTCAGGTAATTGTCAGCAACACAGCAGTAAATATCAACACAAAGCAGATTATTATTGTAGATCACCCAGGGAGAACAAAGGGCAAAATATTTAACTGTAGGAGTGTTTGACTATATTCTGCACAGTGAGAAAACTTGAAGCTATTTTCAAGTTCCACCATTTCTTACTTCTTTTCAGTTGGATCAAGTTTTAAGCTTTTTAAATCTCCATTTTCTGGCTAATGAGAAGAAAATAGGATCCTGTTGAGTCTCTTATCTACCTATTCCAGGACTTCTGTGAGGATCAAGTAAGATGAGGCACAGGAAAACACTTCACAGACATTTGGTTAAAGTGTGAAATGTTTCCACCTGGCTATAAAGCAAGTCATGTTCCTGGGCTGAAGAAACTGCAAGGAGGCTAGTAGCTAGGGAGAGGAAGCCAGGCGTTGCTATATGAGTTCATTACCCGGATGGACACTTAGCATTTTAGTCTATTATATATATAGATGATGATGTATGTTGAGAAGAAAAAATAGAGAAGAGACGATAAGAGGTATCTCAATGGAGTAGAATAAATACAGAGGAGAGCAATAGTATATGAACTCAGAGAAATAAGAGGATGGAACTGGAGAAAAACTATATACATGCTATTGTAAGAACCTTAACTTTGATCATTTGGAAAGAAATTGGACTCTTTGAGTAGAAGAGCAAATTGACCTTATCCTTTAAAAGGTTCCCTTATGCTGTCTTAAGGTGGGCTATAGAATAAGAGAAAAGACCAGTGATGTGAATAGTGCTGCAATCCAGTTAAGAGAAGACAGTGCTTGGACTATAGTGGTAAGCTAAAAGCTGGCTGTTATAAAAAATCCTATTTGGGTTAATTTTGAAATGAACAGCAGGATTTGCTGTCATTATATGATTGATGCGAGAGAAAGAGAGGAGTCAGATCCCAAGGTTTTAGCCTGACTGGTTGTTCTGTTGTTTTGCATATTACCCTTTTATTATATTGGACTATTTACAATATCCAAAATATTGAAGCAACCTATGTGTCCACAGATAGCTGAATGGATAAAGACGATGTCACACACACACACACACACACACATGCGCACACACGTGTGCACTGCAATATTAGCCATAAAAAGAATAATATCTTGCAATTTTCAACAACATAGATGAAACTGGAGGGTATTATGCTAAGCGAAATAAGACAGAGAAAGACAAATACCATATGATTTCACTTATGTGTGAAATCTAAAAAAAAAAAACAAATGATCAACTAAAACAAAACAGGAGCAGACTCATAGATAGAGAACCAACTAGTGGTTGCCAGAGGGATGCGGTGGGGAAATGGGTAAAATGGGTAAAGGGGATTAGGAGTACCAATGTCCAATTATAAAATAAATAAGTCACAGGGAAGTAATGAACAGCATAGAGAATATAATCAATAATGCTGTAGTGACTCTATGGTGACAGAAGGAAATTAGACTTATCATGGTGATCACTTCATAATGTATATAAATATCGAACCACTATGTTGTACACCAGAAACTATTATAACATTGTATATAAACTATATTTCTATCAAAATGAAAGGTAAAACCAGACTTTAACCAGAGAATAAATGTGTTATATCTCACTAAGTCAGTGACAGAAATAAAATAAGGTACCTTCAGTCTAAAAAAGGTGATACTTGTTAGCAAGTCCACAGTTGATTTCAGGTCTTGCAGTCTTTCAGCATTGCCAGCAGGGAAGTTTTCCTGGTCAATTAGGAAACAGAAAATGGGTAAATTATCAGCATTAATGTGAAACATCACAGAAAGTAAACAATTTGGAAATATACTCTCCTTAGTCTTAGGAAGCTATATCTTTTTATTTATTCCCATAATGCAATAAAATAAACAAAATGATATTATGAATGCAATATTATTCCTTGTTATTTAATAGTGTTGCTACTAAAAGAGAGGAAGATGGCATATATTTGAAAATATTTATAATTTTCTCAATATAGGTAATTTTTTCAAAAATACTTTGGGAATATTTACATGTGCTACATTGATTTTTAATCCCAAAGAAACTTTATTAAAAAAATAAGACTGTACTGCAAAGTCTCTCCTTAAAGTACTGTGGATTTTAACAAAAAGTTTCTATCAGTGAGATTTGGTGAGATATGTCAACAAAAATGGAGATGTTTTCAGATTAGCTTCTTAAATGGCTCTCTGGAAAAATCATAGGTAACTTCTAGCTATTAGTGAACTGGAGCAGAGTTGGGGTGTCTAAACGATGGTGAGTAAGTGAACTCAAGTCCCTGTTTACCCTCAAATATCTTTTCATTGCCTGGCATGGCAGTTCTCTTCTCATACTGTTGCCCCCAGTTCCAATATAAAGGGTGAGTTTGACGAAATTTGGTATTATAATTTCTAGAAATATGCAATTAAGATGTCCATCAATAAGAGACTGAAAGTTGAATACAAGAGAAATACATGTGTGCAGATATAAAAAGATGTTTAGGGTAAACTGCTAAATAAAGAATGCAATCATTATTACTATAGTTTTTATGTGAATAACAATTATAATTATTTTTTGTAACTAAAACTATATGTATTTATATTCATATATATATATATTTGTGTGTGTGTTTCACCTGGAGAGGCAGTATAGAATTGTTGACAATGAACTCTGCACAGCTTAAAGATCACATTGTACTGATCCAGAAGGAATGCCTTAAGCAGCAAGTATCTCAAAAGCTAGGGAAATATTAGCAGGATAGCTCAGAAACAAGGAATGAGTTTTCAAGATGAGGACTGGGCCATATATCCACTCCATAAATTAGCTGACGGCCACTCAATCTGATGGTTATTGAAAGAATCATAAAATTAAGCTACACACACAGTATTGCTGTAGGCTTATGTGAGGCTAGGTACATGACCAAGGGACAAAGGCTTGCTTATTTAGCAGACCCTTCTAATGTGACAGGAAATGAGATCCCATAATCAGGATTTTTTGCTTTTCCCTTACATAATGAATAGCTTTTTACAGTATGACAAGAAATCATCTGAGCCAAGCACAATATTTTACTTTTAGTCAAATCATTTTGTACATACCCTATACTTTGACAGGTCAATCCTTAAAGAGTTGTGCAACTGGTCTAGTAGTTTTATGAATCTTTCCCTCTGTCCAAAGAAAACACAAAATAGGAGAATGGAAATAAATGGTCACTATCAGTTATTGTCCCCATTTCATAGAAATCAAGGTTCAAAAATATCAATGACTTGTCCAAGATTATAGAGCTGGTATGTGACATAGCAGTGTCTCAAAATAAGGTCTCTTTGACACCAAATTCACATTCTTTCAATAAGTCACACTGGCTCTCTGTGATGAATGAGAAAGTATCCAGAGAATTATGTACTGTAGAAAGAGAGCAGGCAACTGAATTGCCACAGTACTGATTCATGACAATATGAGTCAGGAAGAGAAAATATAACCCATCTCTCTACCCACACACACCAGCCCACCTCCCCAGAAATAAATTGTAGTGTGTGTTTTTTTTTATACTTCTCCCACCTATGGAAGTGGGAACAGCTGCTGTTTTTTCAAAAACAATTTCAAAAAGCATTTTCCTTTTGGTAACATGTACAGACTTCACAATCTGAAAGGATCTATTGCTTTTAACTTATGTTTATGTTTTAGGCTAAAAAAAATATAAAATATCGGGCAACAACAACAAAACACTAATGCTTCCCCTTGATTCTGTGTTGGTATTGGACCGACCTCTTCATAGGGATTTGAAGATGATAAGAATAAGAAGTTTTGCTAATAAACATAAGGATAAAGTTGTGTGGATGAAAAACATTGAGTAAAAATATCAGTCTCATGCATGAACTTTATAGGTAGATAGTCCCACCATTCTGAGTCTCAAATTTCTAACCAAAAATTACAATAAAAAATATATGGGGGTAGGAGTAAATTATAGTAAATGTCTCTGCCTACATTAATATTCTGTATATACTAAAGCACATTTTGAAGATACTGGCAAAAGTGAAACTTTTTTTAGTGTTTTCACATACAAGGTGGATTTATGGGGTATAGAACTCTTATTCCCTTGAAATTACTGATCTTGATGAAGTGAGCTGAATATTGAGTTGATGAATTGTTCCTAAGTTGAAATTTCAATTTTCTGAATAAAGTGAAAATTTATCAGGTTTACACATTCGTGAACACAGTTTGAATATTGCTTCTGTGTTAACCCTTATGCAATAAAGCAATCTAATAAATGAACCTTGCTTTTCAGAAGTTTGCCACTTGTTCAGTGGATAAGACTCTCCTATAAAACAACTGAAAAATACTGTTGAGCTGACGGTATAAAACTTTTCTTTTCCATTTCCATCGTACCTTCCCAGGAGAGGGCCTGGCTTATACTGTCCTTTATTAACCTTTTATTCTTCCCATACTAGTACATGTGGATCAGTGGCTCTCAATCAAAATTTAAAAAAAATAAAAGAGCTATTATAATAATCAGTTTAGTCCATAGCAAAGTTAGTTATTCAATGATTATAAAAGAAAATGTGTTGATGTCATATCTCTGACCTCTTCAACTGTCCTCTGTGATTGGTACAATCATCAAGACAGCTGGCGTGACCCTAGTCAACCATGCTCTGGCCCAAATCACTGGCCCTGCTATATACACTGGGACCAACCATCCTGGTTGTCTGCTCTATATCCATCCTTCCACTCTTCCTTACTAATGGAATCGCATGAGTCAAATGTGTCCATTACAAGATGCCCACTTTCCCAGGCCTCTTTGCCTCTAGGAATGGCCATGTAGCCTGGTTTAGGTCAGAGGGTGAACTCAGCCTATTATCAATGAATTCCTATTTGGAAAGATTCAAAAGAGTGCATGGCAGGCAGTGTTTGCTGTATTACCGTTTGCCACGTAAGTCTTTGTTAGTTTTTTGTTTTTGTTTTTCCCATTTGCTCTTTGTGTTTTCCTCCTTTTCCCCACCTTAAATGTAGACTAGATCCTAGAAGGTAAAGCAGTCATCCTGTGGCTATAAGATGAAAAGCTAAATAAATGGTAACAATATTGTTGGAGCAAGAAGCTAGGAGTCCCCACACCTCACCCTTGCCATGTCTGCCCACCCTTTCAAAAAATTACAATTCTGAGCAGCTACAGTAGCCCTGGGTTTCTATTACTCTGTCTTTAGGTTACATGGAGAAAAAATCTTATTTAGTTAAGTTTGTTTGAGTTTGTGTTTCACGACGCTGAACAAAACCGTGACTGTTACAGATCACACATGTGGTTCCTACCTAGGTCTTCAGTAACTAGCTGGAAAATTTTACATTCAAGATAAATAGAAAACTGTGGAGAACACTGCCAGGCTTGTCACAAAATCTCAAACAATATCAGATAATGTGAAATTAAAAGTGCACTGCTGATTAAATTTTTATAGAGATCCTTTAAACAGCAGGACAGCTTGAAATTTAATTTTAACTTCCATATTTCTATTCAACTTGAGTGCGATTACCCTTGCAGGAGCAGAGAAGGCCAACTGCCTGCGCTTTGTGATTTGAAGAATAAAAGACTGGGTGATTAAAGACTGTTTCCCCTAAAGTGCATGCCATAGAGTCAGAAACTGCCATATTATTCAGTTCTTTGCTTTGGATAAGGACTCCATGTCTGGCACTTGGTAGGGGTAAAATCAATAACAAGAATACTAAGTATTATCAGTTATCAAAAGTGTAGATTTAACTAGTTGATAAGAAAAACTAGATCCAGATAGTAAATATTTTCAGCGTTGTAGCCTTTGTCACAGCTATTAAATTCTGTGTTGTAGCATAGTAGCTCCCATAGACAATATATAAACAAATGGGGCTGGTTATTTTTTCCAATAAAATTTTGTGTATGGACATTGAAATTTGAATTTCATATCATTTTTATGTCCCACAAATAATAGTCTTCTTTTGATTGTTTTAACAATTTAAAAAATCTAAAATCCAATCTTAGCTCATGAGCCACAAAAAATCAGTAGTTTTGGCCCTTGGGCAACGGGGAGATTTTGAGTAGGGGAAGCTATTGCTACTGCACAACTGCATTCTCAGTAAGTCTCCTTAGGATCCTGGAACTGTGGAAGGAAAAGCCCTTACAAGGAAGGGGTGTAAAAATCTCTGCAGCATCCTGGGCTCTTCTCTCTCTTCCATTCCTTTCTTCTCAGTGCCTCACCCAATGGCAGGGATGATTTCACCTGAAGATAAAGATACCTAAGCTTTGGGCGCACTCACTGGCCTCAGCTTTCTTGGGAGGAGCCCTGGTCAAGGGCTCACCTGATCTTAGGTGTTTTTTTTGTGTTTTTTTTTTAATGTATTTTATTGATTTTTTACAGAGAGGAAGGGAGAGGGATAGAGAGCCAGAAACATCAATGAGAGAGAAACATCGATCAGCTGCCTCCTGCACACTCCCTACTGGGGATGTGCCCGCAACCAAGGTACATGCCCTTGACCGGAATCGAACCCGGGACCCTTGAGTCTGCAGGCCGATGCTCTATCCACTGAGCCAAACCGGTTCTGGCTGATCTTAGGTTTTTATAACATTTGCAAGAATAGGAGTAAAAATTATTCTAACCTGGACTGACAAATTGTGAAGACTTTTTTTCTAGATGATACCAGAAGTAATCATTGAATAAGAAAATCAGAAACATTTCAAATAGAAGTAATACAGAGGCTATTTTGATCATTTTTGATAATTTAATGAATGTTGGAATTAATTGATTTGAAGTTAATATGGATACCAACAGAGATTCTATAACATTATAAAATGCCACTACAATGTTGCTATCAAGGATAAACATCTTAATACATTAGTAAATGTCTTCAATTCAAAGAGCATTTAAGAAGTCCCTTCACAGGCAAGCTTGAAAAGCGGTGAGATGTTATTATTCACTGATCAAGAGAGCTTAGTAGCTTCCCTCAGTTTGACTAAGCTTCACACAGGCTTCTGTTCTTGACTCTAGGTCCTGACCTCCCTTTTTTATTTTTAGAGTATTTTCTTTAGAAACTGTCTAATTGCACATTTCTTCTCTACCCTTTTGAGATGTAAATCTTTTTAAATGATGCCTCTTACCAGTTTTATAAGCCGCTAATGTCTTTCTCAAGTACTTGAAAGCCATCCCTTTGAAATGTAAGTATTAAAAAGATAGCAACCCTAGCTCCCAGTCTTGGCAGGAGGGTAGGAGACTAATTTTGATGGATGTCAATTAGCAAACACAGATGGCCTAGCCACAGAAAGACTTTTACAAACTCAATATGCTGAACATGTTCTATTGATCATCCTTCCCCCTAATATCTTCATGTACATTTTTTTCTATCTCATTCCAGCCCTTGTTTCAGGGGAGTTGAGCTCCGGCTTGCCTCTCTTCCCTATTGCAATAGCCTTAAATGAAGTCTTCCTTAACTGTTTAACTTCATTGGGTTCAATTTTTGATTTGACATCACACAAGAAAAAAAGTATAATAAATGTATTCTCAAGTTTGATAAGTCATGAAAAGCTATGTGGCATTAGCAATGAATTATGAAAGTGAAAGAAAGTTTTCTAAAGTATCAATTTTAAAAGTTTGATCAACTGTGCTAGAAAAGAGTGAATTATCTTTTTATCAATAAAAATAATATATTTCAGAATTTTCTTTCATACGAAGAAGTGATCTAGCATCTGCAGTCAAAAACTGTAAAAAAAAACTTTTATAGACATGTGTCAGGAAGTTAATTAATAAAAATGTTATGTTGTTTTTCTGGAATTTGTAATATTTGTGGAATGTGTCTTATAATAACTTCTAATTCATTGTGATTTATTTTTGTTAGAAATAAATATTAAATGTATATCAAATTTTTCATTGACAATTTTACATTCTTCTTAATGAGAGTCTTACGAAATAGTCTAAGGTTTAGGCAGCATAAAAACTAGAACTAATCACTTAGCAAGTCATAAAGAAATCATTTCATCCCAAATGTTTTCCACATTCATTCTCTCCTTTGCCACATCACTTCATTTTCTCTAAACCATTGTCTACTAGATGTGGCATTACTTTGTCTTACCAGGGCTAGCGCATCAGCCTTCTCACTGATTTCCATTTAGTCCTTCTGTGTTCAATACCAGGAACTGGTTTACTCATTTCTCCTTCCTTCAGTGTGATTCCCTGTAGTTTTGAGACTAGAAAACTAAATGCTGTATTTCTCAAACTGCTTTGCAGCTAGGTTTCTGCAATTATCTTAGTTTCTGCCTATTAGATGCATGGGAGCTACTACCTTTGGAAAGCAGACATTCCTGCTCCTTGGTTTACTTCTGCTGCTGAGTTAAGTCCTGGAGATATTTACTTCTCAGGCCCAGGTCACTAGCTCTGCGGTTTTATAAAGACTGTTGCATTGTAAATAGAAGCAGCCTTCTGGTTCATCTTTCTGATTGTAGGAAAGCTCATAGCTTCTCTTGCAAATCAGTTTCACTGTGATATTTTCAGAATTATTACAGAAGGATCCTCCTCCAGTCCTTCAGATGATAATTGTAAGCATCTAATTCTCTGTGCCAAAACCCTTTCAATTTGAAGTTGCTTGGATGGTTTCTATTACTACAACTGAACTCTCTGTCTCATACTCATTTTATCTTTCCCCTCTGTAATATTTCCTCTAAAGAGTGATCTAAGTAAAAGATTCTATCAAAGTATACCCTTTGCCTCAAGATGAAGTCCAAACATATTAGTGGGCAATTTAATATCAACCCCAAAACACGGCATTGTCTTATACTTCCATTTTTTATTCTCTCTGCCATGCTCAGCAGGCAGGCTACCGTATACAAACTTCTTTCATCTTATTTTGCATCTTTACTTCTCCTTTCCTTTCCTCAAATGTCTCCCATGCCTGACGTAGTGTTTCTACTACTTCGTGGACATCAGAAAATATTACTCATCCCTAAAGCCTTGCTCCCTTTCTACATTATTTTTTTAATAAGTTTTATAATAAAAATGTGAAAACAAGGGTAAAAGTTGGTGATGAAATAGAGGTTTCTGTCTTATTTAGAGCTTTGTATCCTTTTCTTCATTTATCATTATAACATAAGCATTGCTGAATTATATGAACGTTTCTTTAAAAACTTGACTTTAATGATTACATTATATTTTAGTGAATAAATGAACCCTAGTTCACACAACCATTCACCTTTGTCCTTCACTGAGGAACACTATGACATTAGATTTTAACCTCAACTGTTTCACTAAGCAATGATCTCCTAATTGCCAAATCCAATAGGCTCATTTCTTTCCCCATATTATTTGAACTTTTTTTGCAACACCTGACAATGTTATATACTCCCCTTTTCTCAAAATAGTTACCTTGCCTTTCATAATATCATGTTATTATCATTTTTGTTCAATTTCTTTAATCATTTTCCTCAGCAAAATTTGCTTTGCCCATCCTCTCCACCCCCGAAAATTCTGTCTGTTTCATTTTATTCTTGAATATTTTCATCTAAACTATGACTTCAAATAACACCTGTACCCAAAAATTGTTTTCTTCCCTTGAGTATTTGTTTTTAAATCTTCATTAGTAAAATAGCTTTTCCCATGGGTTTAACTTTTGAAGACTCAAACTGTCTGAGTTACACTTTGTGAAGGATAAAGAAGGTCCAATATAATGGTTACAAGTGATAGTATCAGCTTCAAAAGCCAGGTAAATAAGAACGTCAAGCTTTAAAGTGCACGTAGGAGACACTTTACCTACATATATGTACAAATAACCTTATTTTCAATAGGTAGAGAAAAATATGGTTACATTTGCATACCATCTCACCAATGTATCCAGATGTAGTTTGAGATTTTCTTTTGAAACCTCCTCTACAATAAGTCATTTGATTTACAAAATGAAGTTTGTTATGACCATATTGCCACTGAGACACTGAAAAGAACTGAAATCAATTTGGTTTTTCTTCTTTGGGTCAGCGTGAAGTGAAAAAGCATGCTACTTATTTCCCTCCAGGTAGCGTTTATGTTGGATATTAATCATGTAAACACATCTTCTTTCTCAGTGGTTAAAGATTCCGTGTTCCACAACGTTGGCTTATTCTGCACAATGTACCCAGGCAGAATATTAAAAGCAAAACAATTTCATAACACTGAATGCTTTATGTTTCAGGTAAAATCCTGGGACAATCAGTGGTGTTACCAAAAAGAGGTGTTTATAACAAAATGACTCTATGATCTGGTATTACTCATGATCGTATTTTCTTGGGCTGGTTAGGGAATGTTCTTTGGTCCCAGCTGTTGCAAGAGTCAAACTGTAGAACAAAAGTACCTGGTGGTGTACTGTTTAGACCAAGCATATCAAATTTTAAGACTAACACAGGCCAAATAAACAAAGTTTAAGTTTATGTGGACCACAAAAAAAGCTCCAATTTTCATAGAAATAGGTTTATTTCAATAGAGACATGCTGAATACAAAGGGCTGAAATAAAAATGAGTAATTGTTAGCATAAAATAATAGAACATTTTGATAAAAATTAATATTTTTTTCTTGAACATTAACTTACCAGATGCTGAATAACTGCACAAATTAATAAGTGTAACCCAAATAAACCTATTTTTCTTTTCTCCAAAAGTGAAATATTTCCTGTTGCACACACCAAACAAGTCAGTTCAAGACTAATGACATGGCCATCAGCTGCTAAAATATTCGCTGCTAGTATTAGTGGAGAGAAATGGTGCGCCTGAGTATAAGGCATGTAAGGAAAATGAATGCAACACGATTGTAGTAATCAGTCTTTAGCGAATGTTGTAGGGTGATATTAATAATTATGTATAACAGGGTATTGTAAAAATTAAGTTATGATTTTTTCTTTTTCTTTTTTAAAAAATATATTTTTATTGACTTCAGAGAAGAAGGGAGAGGGGAAGAGAGATAGAGACATCAATGATGAGAAAGAACCATCAATCGGCTGCCTCCTGCACACCCCCCACTGGGGGTCAGGACTACAACCCGGGCATGTGCCCTTGACTGGAATCGAACTTGGGACCCCCCAGTCCATAGTCCGATGCTCTATCCACTGAGCCAAGCCAGCCAAGGCAAGTTATGAATTTTTTATTAAAACATTTCTTACATACCATTATATTGGCTGGGCCGCAAAAATATTTGTTGTGAGCTGCATGTGGCCTGTAGATCACGAGTTTGACATGCTTGGTCTAAACTATAGGTAGGGCAGGAGAAATGAAATCGTCATATCTTATTACATAGAGCAATTTCAATGTTTACAAACTGGCTTACCACCTCTTCTTCATTTTAATTTGAGAAACATGTTAAAGAAATAATTCTTGTCCACATAGAGCAGATTGAGAAACAGGTTTAAATGACTGAACTGACTTACTAATTTTCTTCTACTAGTGTTTATTTTGACTTGTCATTAAATAACAATCACTTTTTCCTTTGATTCATTCCACCTCATCTTACCCACCTCACATGCATTTTCTTTTAGATGACAAAGATAAGAAAATAGTAAACACAGCAGCACATTCCCCCGCCCCTCCCCGGCTTTACACCCTTTTATTTGCTGGTTTCATTTGTTTCTACTCTATGATACATAATGTCCTAAATTTGATTTCTAACACCACGATCAATCACGAATTCTATTCAGTGAACCGATTTGGAAGTTCAGTGGGAAATGTAACTGCAGTCTCATGGAAAAATACCTGTCTCTCAGGGATATTGAACAGAGCTACTGGACTACCCAGGTGCCCTGGCCAAAACCTTGGGAATCTTTCCAGGCATTTTTCCATTTCCCTCACTGTCCACATCCTTACAGATACTTAATGAGGTTGATTTTATACCCTGAAAAGCTCTGAAATTTGTTCTTCCTTCTTGACCTCCACTAATTCTTAGTTTAGATCTTTACCATTTTACTAAGATTAGTTAATTGATATCCTATTTCCAGTTTTGTCAATTTCAATTTTTTGAAAATATGTTTTTATTGATTTGAGAGAGGGGAGGGGAGAAGGATAGAAAGGTAGAAACATCGATGACAGATAGAAACATTCATTGGCTGCTGACCAGGATTAAACAGGGGATCTCTTGGTTCTTGGGTCAATACTCAACAACTGAGCCACATTGGCCGGGCTCAATTTAATTTATTGCTTGGGTCAATACTCAACTACTGAGCCACATTGGCCAGGCTCAATTTAATTTATTGCTCAGAATGAGCTACAGTGACAGGGGCAGTAGATAATTGAGATTCCACAGGATCCCTGCATTTTTACTTTTCAATGCATTTTTGATGCATTTGAATACTTCATGTGGACAATCTTAATTAGATACAGGTAGTTCTGTTAAACTCTTTGTACATCTACCAGAGGCTCAATGCACGAAATTCATGCACTGGTAAGGGTCCCTAGCAGCTGCTGGCTGCCGGCTGCCAGCTGGGGCCTCCCTCCCTTCCCCCTGGTCAAACTCCCAGAAGAACTCCAGTCGAGGGGACAATTTGCATACTATGCTTTTATTATATAGGATTATTATTTTTTTTTTTTACTTAGAAGCTATGCTGTTATCCATCAGTACCAGTAGAAACCAACAGAAAGTATAAATGAAGGCTAATAGAGAAGTCAACCAAGCTCACATTTACCAGGGAAAAGTGTCTGCAATGGTGAATCCCAAATTTGTATACATGGAGAATTTCTTACAAAATACCAATACTCTCACAAAATGTATGTTTTCCCCCATTGGAAAAGGTCATTCCAGATATGGAGACTTCATCTAATGAAGATGCTTACTGACTGTCAAAATTATTTCACTGAATATGCTTCAGATGGACTTTTAACTTTAGCCCAATTGTAGTAATTGATATTCCCTAAGATATACCTTCTGCAATGAGATTCCAAGAATATCTGGAGTCCAATGCCCCTTTAATATGTAACTCCCATAAGCTACTAGAAATTTTATAATTAACAAAACAATACTTACACCAAAATTGGTAGCGGCAAATCGATCTGAGGCAGAAACCTGCACATTTGTTGAAACTGTCGTGTGAGCATAGAAAGCATTTATATTCGCCAGCAAGGTGCTCATGATGGCAGGGACGCCAGGGCACATGTATTTAGAAGACAGACATGAGAAGTGCCTGCAAGACAAGAACATCGAGCCCTTTAAACAAGAATTACATAATTCAAACAACAGCATAACTTCTAACCCCAGTAATTAAATAATTCCTCAACTGCATCTGAAAAGGACCCAAAACTCCCATATCTCTAGAAAGCAATTTTGGCCCTTTAAAAATTTCTCACTCACAGATGTGAAGTGGCTTAATTAGAATATGATTTGCCACAGGGTGTGTGCATAAACCCTTTCAACTGTGAGAGTGTTGTGTGTAGACACCTAAAGTGCAATTTCCAGAGACTCTAGCACCGTGGGGAAGCAATAACACAGCGTCTCCTTTTCCCCAGCAGCTGTGCCCCCACTCATTTCATGGGTAAAGCAAGAGGCCCTCCTCAGACTGCACATTGATTGAAAAAGTAAATGTAACATCTGCCTTGAGTCCAGCTTGTGAGCTTTTGTCATGACGGATTATCTTCCATAAGCAGTTAGGTCTCCCAAGCATTTTGCTAAAGCCAGGATTTAATTAAGCCAACAGATGAGTAGTGAGGGCAGGTCGGATTATGCCAGCTTTATCCTTAAAAACCATTCCTTTTGTACCTTGAGTGATAGTATCATATGTTACACACATCAGAAGCAGTAAGTGTTCAGTTCTGTTACTCCTCTCAAGAGAACCTGTTTCATTGGAACCATAACAAAAGACCTGAGCATGGAAAGCACGGCTTAGGGATGAAAGTGAAAAGATAAGTTGTGCATGGAGGAAGGGAATTTTCAGGACATAATCTGGATCCATGTTGCTGTCCTATCACAGTAATATGTGCTCCACCTCCATCAGTGGGTTTTGTAGTAGTGAGTGCAAGCACAGAGCGCACACACATACATAAATGGCCCGAGTGCCACCTCAAATGAAATGGCTGGTGGTCCTCAAAGGGTGCCTTCTCTTAGATCTCAGCCAGGCCACTCTCCTAGAGCTTGTTACGATGCTAGCTAATAAAAGTAGGTTAAAGTTTTAAACGTGGATCTTTGAGGATCATGAATAACAAACAATATATACCATGAGAGTTACATAACTTGTGCAATTTAACCCTGGAATTAGATGATCACTGATTGCTTCTTTTGGGTAAATATTTTGACTTTACTATACACTAAATTAATTCTCATTACTATCTATTAAATACTACAAATTTACATAAAGATATCAAATATAGAAATTAAAATTTCTCTAGCACTATGATTTCGCATTTCTTTCTCCCCCCTACAACTCTAAGTAATTATATTTGTTAGGCCCAAATTAGAGGTCAGTCCATAATTGTGGATTATGCAATGCCTGAGGCATCTTTGACTTTCTGAGTGTTCAGCTACCAGGCTTGTAATGGGCTTCACTCTGGCAATGCGTCTGCCTCAGAGCTGGTGTGCCCTTTCTTTATGTGTGGTTACTGCCAAGGCCTGCTTTTTTGCTTCTAACCATCTCTTTGAAAATCATTTCCTTTTAAGAGCTGCAGTTCCAATACTACTTAAATTATCCTAAGGGGAAGAGATAAAACAGGATTAAAAGTACAATTAGCAATTTAAATGACAGAGTATATCCTTGCAGCAAACCACCCCTTCAAAAAGTATACCTTCAAATAAAATAGGTCAAACAGTACTACTATAATTTCTAGAAATGCTTACCAATTCCTACACAGACTTGATTAAGAACAATTAATTAATAATGTTAAAATCACTTGACTTCATTTTTGCAAGAAAGTCGAGTTAGTGTCAAATCAATTTAGCAAATGGAATTTCAGTGCCATGGGAAAAGTTGAAGTAACGAACTCCAAAAAGACAATGCTTGAATTGGCAATAATGAGATTGTTACTAGGCATGTTTTTAGCTCAAGCAACTGCCATAATATTGTCAACCATTAATTCTCAAATTATGACTGGGAAAATATTTGAAGTCATGTGTACTTCAAATAACACATGTGGATTCAGCTCACTTGCTTTTGTTTTGTCGGTATCATAATGGAGAAAAAAATATCTAACTCCCCTGTCTTTTCATGGATAACTGTCCCTAATGACACCCATCTTGTGGTTTTCAAGGGATGAAAATGCCTTTGATTAAAAGATTTTAAAATCTCTCAACTATTTTTAATGACCACAATAGCAGGGTGATTAGAAAGCAGCACTAAAAAAATAATGATTCTTAAATCCTTATAAGGGTTTTCAGAGAAACAATACAATATGAAAGGAAAGAATATCTGTATTCTTGATGTTAGAAATATACTAAAGCAGTATTTATCGCATTTGCTCCAGAGAATTCAGAGTAGCATGCATTTCAGTGATGAGTAAATGTTTTATCTATCCTTGTTGCTAAAGAGGGGCTTGAACTTTTTTTAATTTTTATTTTATTTGATTGATTTTTTTACAGAGAGGATGTGAGAGGGATAGAGAGTCAGAAACATCAATGATGAGAGGAACATCTATCAGCTGACTCCTGCACACGCCCCACCAGGGATGTGCCCACAACCAAGGTACATGCCCTTGACCAGAATCAAACTTGGGACCCTTCAGTCCGCAGGCCGATGCTCTATCCACTGAGCCAAACCAGCCAGGGCAGGGGCTTGAACTTTTAAGGATCACTTCTCTTTTGGTCAAAAGCATCAGTGTTTCATAGGTGCTATTGATTGCTGGTGCTCAATTACAGAGGTTTTTGAATTATGTAGGAGAAATCCTATATAATAAAAGGGTAATATGCAAATTGACCCTAACAGCAGAACGATTGGGAATGACTGGTCACTATGACACACACTGACCACCAGGGGGCAGATGCTCAATGCAGGAGCTGCCCTCTGGTGGTCAGTGCGCTCCCACAGGGGGAGGTCTGCTCAGCCACAAGCCAGGCTGATGGCTGCCAGCACAGCGGTGGTGGCGGGAGCCTCTCCTGCCTCCTCAGCAGTCCTAAGGATGTCCAACTGCAGCTTAGGCCTGCTCCCCGCTGGCAAGTGGATATCCCCCAAGGGCTCCTGGGCTGCCAGAGGGATGTCTAACTGCCAGCTTAGGCCCGATCCCCCGGGGAGCAGGCCTAAGCCAGTAGGTGGACATCCCCTGAGGGGTCCCAGACTGTGAGAGGGCAGAAGCTGGGATGAGGGACACCCCCCCGAGTGCATACATTTTTGTGCACTGGGCCTCTAGTAAAGTAATAAAATGCATAGGGTTTAGAGAAATGATCAAAGTTGGATAGCAAGTCGGAATGGGCCATGCAAGCTGCCCATGAGCTCTCTCTGACACCTCTCTTCATATATGCCTTAATTTGCCCCCATGCCTATGTTCTTATAGCACACATGCATATCTCTATTATATTGTTTTATTATTTAATTTCTTCTTCCTGTTCCCCCTAGATTAGGAACTCAGTGGGCACAAGAGCCATCTTTTATTATTGAATCCCCATTGCCCTGTATAAGTCCTCTTTCTTAGATACTTAGAAAGTGTCTATCAAATAAATACATTACATCTTCTGAAATGTGGCTCTGTGAAGAACTGGACCTTGCCTTCTTGTTCACTAATGTATCCTCAGTGCCTAGAGAACTTCCTGGCACATGGTAGGTGCTCAATAAATATTTCTTAAAGGAATGAATGACTTCATTGAACAACAATCTCCTTAGAAAGCAGATTCCTGGCTCAAGAAGCTAAAATAGACTAATGGCATTAAAGTAAACTATATCCCAACAGTTCCGGTTTAAATATGAATTCGTGTAAGATGATTAGCACCAAAGTATAGGTTGTTAAGCTCACCAAAGGAAAAAAAAAATTGACCTAATGCTTTTCTCTTATTTGGTATTATAGAGGGATGACTATGGAGCCTAATAGAATCTCAGATTTTGTAAGAAACCTTGGGTTTCATTTTACAATAAATGAAAGACTCATTAAGTACTCAGTTTATATGTATTTGCTCAACAGAGATCACCTCCAGAGGACAATTTAAACCTTAATGCTTGACATGAAATTTCCTGCATGTGTTCAGGGGTAAACAGTTGGTCTGTCAGAACACTGTTAAAAATATATTTTTGCATAAATAAATGCAAAGCATCAAGGATTCCCTAATTCTCATAGTGGAAACAGGATCTATGCCCAACCTTATGATGTGAGATACATGGAATAGTGTGCTCCTTTGAAAAATAGATCGCATGCTCCTATTACTGTCATAAATTGGTAAAAGGCTTTTACTTTAGATGGATGGGTGCATTTACCATATGAAAACAAATCCTCCAGGTCCTTGATCAATCACTTGTCTAAGAGGAAAACTGCAATCCCTTTTCTCTTTCCCATGAATGCTCCAAAACAAAGGATACATTTTTATGCAACAAATAGGGCTAATAAATTGTGCCCTCATAGAAAATGTTCTGTGGTAAAATGAGAGAGCATTTACAATAAGTAAGAGGAACCCTGAGGACTGGGCAGTTCCGTATTAACAGTCAGGTTACTTACTAGCAAAATAGATTCAGCCTCTCTCTTATGATGAGAAATACACAAGAGGAAAAGTCAATAATGTACAACCAGATGCTCTGAGTTAATACACACTTTCTTCTTATTTATTTATGCTCCAAATTCATCTTTAAAAATATGGGGGTGTGCCTAAAGAAACCAAGCAATCTCTAATGTAAGAGGAAGGTTATGAAGTTACCTGGGGATTTGGCTAAGCATAAGAGGATGTTAAATATTAAAAAAAAACAAAATAATAACACTGTAATTTGATTTATTTTTCTGATCAAATGGTGTATAGAAAAATCCAGAAGAACTAAGCAGTTCTTTTCTTTCCCAAACTTGTAAGTATCTTTACCACACAGATAGGACACATGTTTCTTATTTAAAGCTGAATTCCCCAATTTTGTGTTTTTAAAAATTAAGAGCAAATTCTCCTGAGATAAGCTTGCCATGTCTATTTGAGTGTTGTTGTTGATTGTTTGGTTTTCTGGTCCCCTGAAGCAAGGTTTTGAAAAGCCGAAAAATATTGATTCAATAGGCACCCAGTTTAAATTCAAAGACATGG